AGACGGACAGAGAGACGGACAGACAGACGGACAGACGGACGCCGGACAAAATGTGATCAGAAAAGCTCACTTGAGCCTTCGGCTCAGGTGAGCTAAAAACTGAACTAGAATTATCAAAACAGGACTTATATTCCCAGCAGGGCAAATCAAAATACATTTACAAAACACAGTAAGTATCCAAAGATGTCCCACACTTGCAAGTTTCGTTTATATTACCCTATGAATAATATACAGTATTAAAATTTCATCAAACTTACACTTGGCAGAGTGAACTCCCCTGATTCCTTCTTCTGAAATACAGCGACCTCTAGGACTTTTTTGCCGTCCACCGTGATGAAGTTCTGCTGGTTCTGACTCGTAGACAGAAATCTCTTCCATCTGGACACGACCAACATCACACAATGATTCGGCCCCCATCTCCTCAACTTCCCTCTTCCTCTCATACCAGTACGACCCATAGGATTTCTGTGAATATTTTAAAAATATACCATCTTAGAAGGCAGAAACTGAAAAGGTAATAAAACTAACAAGAGGCCCATGGGCCACATCGCTCACCTGAGCACTGTGGCTAGGAAAAGGCAGAAATTGGTTTATTATTGTAAAGTTTAAATCCAAAAGTAGTTCTATGACCAATCATGGATTTGCTATTCTTGAGAAGAGGATTTTTCCAGAATTTTCCCATATATTTCTAGGTAAAACTTTGGTCGACCATTTTGGCCCCGCCCTACCCCCGGGGGTCATGATTTGCACAAATTTGAATCTACACTACCTGAGGATGCTTCCATATAAATATGATGAATTATGGCTTTACTCTTCTTGAGAAGAAGATTTTTAAAGAATTTTCCTATATATTTCTAGGTAAAACTTTGGTCGGCCATTTTGGCCCCACCCTACCCCCGGGGGTCATGATTTGAACAAACTTGAATCTACACTATCTGAGCATGCTTCCATTAAAATATGATGAATTTTGGCTTTGCTATTTTTGAGAAGAAGATTTTTCAAGAATTTTCCTATATATATTTCTAGGTAAAACTTTGGTCGGCCATTTCGGCCCCGCCTTACCCCCAGGGGTCATGATTTGAACAAACTTGAATCTACACCATCTGAGGATGTTTCCATATAAATATGATGAATTATGGCTTTGTCATTCTTGAGAAGAAGATTTTTAAAGAATTTTCCTATATATTTCTAGGTAAAACTTTGGTCAGCCATTTTGGCCCTGCCCTACCCTCGGGGGTCATGATTTGAACAAACTTGAATCTAAACTACCTGAACATGTTTCCATATAAATATGATGAATTTTGGCTTTGCTATTCTTGAGAAGAAGATTTTTCAAGAATTTTCCTATATATTTCTAGGTAAAACTTTGGTCGGCCATTTCGGCCCCGCCTTACCCCCGGGGGTCATGATTTGAACAAACTTGAATCTACACCATCTGAGGATGTTTCCATATAAATATGATGAATTATGGCTTTGTCATTCTTGAGAAGAAGATTTTTAAAGAATTTTCCAATATATTTCTATGTAAAACTTTGGTCGGCCATTTTGGCCCCGCCCTACCCCCGGGGGTCATGATTTGAACAAACTTGAATCTACACTATCTGAGCATGCTTCCATTAAAATATGATGAATTTTGGCTTTGCTATTTTTGAGAAGAAGATTTTTCAAGAATTTTCCTATATATATTTCTAGGTAAAACTTTGGTCGGCCATTTTGGCCCCGCCTTACCCCCGGGGGTCATGATTTGAACAAACTTGAATCTACACTACTTGAGCATGCTTCCATTTGAATATGATGAATTATGGCTTTGCCATTCTTGAGAAGAAGATTTTTAAAGAATTTTCCTATATATTTCTAGGTAAAACTTTGGTCAGCCATTTTGGCCCTGCCCTACCCTCGGGGGTCATGATTTGAACAAACTTGAATCTAAACTACCTGAACATGTTTCCATATAAATATGATGAATTTTGGCTTTGCTATTCTTGAGAAGAAGATTTTTCAAGAATTTTCCTATATATTTCTAGGTAAAACTTTGGTCGGCCATTTCGGCCCCGCCTTACCCCCGGGGGTCATGATTTGAACAAACTTGAATCTACACCATCTGAGGATGTTTCCATATAAATATGATGAATTATGGCTTTGTCATTCTTGAGAAGAAGATTTTTAAAGAATTTTCCTATATATTTCTATGTAAAACTTTGATCGGCCATTTTGGCCCCGCCCTATCCCCGGGGGTCATGATTTGAACAAAATTAAATCTACACTACCTGAGCATGTTTCCCCACAAGTTTCATCTTTCCAGGCACAGTGGTTCTTGAGAAGAAGATTTTTAAAATATGCCACCAAATTTTCATTAATTCCCAATTATCTCCCCTTGAATGAGGGCGTGGCCCTTCATTTGAACAAACTTGAATCCCCTTCACCCAAGGATGCTTTGTGGCAAGTTTGGTTGAAATTGGCCCAGCGGTTCTTGAGAAGAAGTCGAAAATGTGAAAAGTTTACAGACAGACAGACGGACAGACAGCTAGACAGACGGACGGACAGACAGACGGACGCCGGACAAAATGTGATCAGAAAAGCTCACTTGAGCCTTCGGCTCAGGTGAGCTAAAAACCAAAAAAAAAAATTAAAACTTTCATGGGGCTGACTGGGGTTTTATTGTGTGAAAACTACAATAGCGAAACTCTATTTTTATACCATATATAACTTACATAAACTTCAGTGTACATGCAAAGTTTGGGGGAAATATACCGTCCAGGTATTTTTGAGGGACCGTCTCAAAATACAGGTACATTTACTATAGGATTATATAGGAAAATGCCAATTTTTAGCACTTTAAGGCAAATTTTACAAATACCACAATAGACTTTTTGTTCAAACTATAATACTTGATGAGTAATACTATATTATACAATATATGTAAGAAACACAAAATTCTACCGTCTTGTTACCAGAGGGGACTTCTCAAAATGCAAAAAATTAACTAATTTTCCTGTTTTAATAGAGTACTACAAAATATGACGGGCACATAGGATTCATATGAAAACATAATAAAAATAATAAAGATATTCTCAAATTTCTATGTTTTAAATTTCAAGAGCATATGTTTATAACTTTTTATCTAACAACATTTTTATAACCCTTTTCTTTTAGAGCTTCAGTTTATCATAACATCAAGAACACTGTAACGACGTCAACCTACATGTACCTATATCAATTGCAAAATCGATTAAAAATCAGTTATATCAAATTATAATTACATTTTTATATCTATAAATTTTTTATTTTGTTTAATTTTAATAATTAAGCAAAAAAAAAGTTGCTTTAAATTAGTAAATACGTTTCATTTTCCTATAATGCTTGAAATATTGCGCAATGGAAACCACAGTCGGCCCCCTTAAGGCAAATGCCCAAAACTGGGCCTGAATGCTGAATATTAGAATTCTGGTAAAAGGTCAAGAACTCATTGTGATCGATCAAAGCTTCCCGAATGCATGCTTTGGTGCATCGTCGGAAACCCACAGGTGATCTCGTCTTTACTTATCACCCATGGGCAAACTAGCTGAAATATCGCCGTAAAATATGCTAATTTGTTGTTTTTAGTCAACCAATCAGAAAGTTGGAACTCTTTAATTTTGAAAAATACGTTTATTACTTTGCTATTTATGGTAAATATTTTGTCGCTCGTTAAAACGTGCGAAGTTTGATTTAAAACAATGAAAGTCAATTCGTACAGGTCACTGACATTAATATCCGTCAGATATTATGAAGGAGTACCTCTTTCTAACTGCAAAATGCACCGGTGAGTGGATTTATCAGCTGTGTTAACTACGGAATGAGTTTTTCATGTTTTTGGCATTGCCGAACATGCATACGTAACGTGAACTTTGATTCGTTGTTTCGCATCGCGACTCTGTGATGCGGCCAATCAAATGACCCATGCATATTCAATTACATACGACGATTTTTCAGCGAGTTTGCCCACGGGCGATAAGTAAAGACGAGATCACCCGTGGGTTTCCGACGATGGCTTTGGTGTAAAGATGAAGATTTTCACAGCTGTAATGTATTTTTCAAAACATGACTAATTTCATCTCACCCTAGGGCCTATACACAATTATCTGTTGCAGTCTTTATTTTACAAGACTTTTGAACTTAAACCGGTAATTGAAGAGTCTTACATAGGCATGTTGGATGAGTCAAGCTCATATCTTATTGGTACACCATCCTTTGTGATCCAAGATACTCTGTTGATTTCTATGTTAGTCTCATTAATAACATATGTAGCTGACAGATTCCATAAGGGTTTCTGGTACCCATACGCTGAAAGTATACTGGTTCTCTCCTCCTGACTCTGGCTGCTGCTTTCCACACGCTGTCTGATCCTATAGAAATATCAAGAAAAAAATGCCATTTTTACCATTAAAAATCTCTTCAATCTCATCAATATAAAATATTAATAGAAGAAAGGATAAAGCATAATTATCATTATTAATCTAGGCTGTTTTAAGCTTCTTAATGAATGAATCCTTCATCTCAGAGAAGCCTAATATTCGTCTAGTTTAATCATCATCTATACTTACTCAATAAAATCAGGATCCACCAGACTCTGTATAGATTCTTTGTATTCATCCACAGGTTTGGTGTAAAGGACAGGATCATAGGTAGGATAAGGTTCCTGTATAAAATATTTAACATGTAACAATATATCACCTTCAGATGCCTCTAACAAAAGAATCTAAGTTTGTGGAAGATGATACCTACTTCCCAACTGACATACTTGTCAAAGACAGGAAACCTCTGTATCTTGGTGTAGGGATACGGAGACTGACGACTAGCGATGTGTAGGGAGGTGGCAGTCTCTAATTCTGGCCGGGCCTGGGGATCTGCAGAAACATACAAACAAGAGATAGAATAATCTGTGACAAATCTTGATTAAATTTGTTGTCCATCAGTACCTGAAAACAAGATGGGTCACCTTCAAGTTAACTCTGGAAATATGGCATCAAATTAAACATATCAGTAAAGCCTTTGAAAAAAGATATTTCCTGCATGAATTTGGTTCCCAGTAATTTTAATGGGAATTTTCTTTAGTGTTGACATACTACAAAAACTTTATATGTTTAATAATAATACTGACCAATTGTATCTATTTTGTGGGCAATCTGCTCCAAAGCTAAACTACAGGCAATCAACTGTCTCTCCAGATTTGACATCTGCTCTGTCATTCTGTCATTATACTCCCTCTGTAGTTTGGATTGTGTTACCAGATGTTCTATTCTACAATTTAAACAACATAATTACATTATACAAAATTTAATCAATCAAAAATTACAACCTTGACCTCTATGAAAATGTTCTGGTAATGTGCATCACAACAATGTTCACAGAGTAACTTTGTAATGGACCTGCTCTAAATATTTTAACCTGATCATTCATCTGAAAAATTGTCAGTAACTTAAGCAGGTCTGGTTCTGTATTCTTATGATCATCACTCCTGTAAATCTGATTTTTATTTACTTAAAAATGGACTTGCTTTAAAAAAATTACAATCTTGTCACTAATATATCCAGAAATATAGGAGAGATCAAGCAGCTGAAGGCATCCCTAGATTGCAGCAACCATGCCAGTCTGGCCACCTTAAGGCTTTTTAATATTTTTGATGTACTTGGAAATGGATCTTCTCTAAAAGATAGTCATTCATCCAGCAATCCAGTTTAACTGTTTTGCAATTGGTTGTAAACATCCCTAGATACATCACCAATGAAAGCATGGTTAACTATGAACTTGCATTGGATAGCTCTTTTATCAAACTTGTGACCTATAGTTCCTGTTAAGGATTTGATGAAAGAGCTATCCCACTCACAAGTAGCTGAAAGGTGTTTTTAATATATCAATGTGTAATAAAAGTACTTGTAAGAGTTGGTTAGTAAATTTTATACCCCTAGGTATATCTTTGTGGAACTCTTCAATGTTAAATAACTTGCGGACAATGTTGAATAACTTGCGGACCAATCATATAACAGAAAATCAAACTGCATGAAAATTTTCTCAGGGATGGATAGCAAAAAGTATACTCCATGGTAGAGCTGAAACTCTTCAGTTCATAAAATACAGTTATTTTGCCTATGGCCTATAGGAAATATTTTAACAGAAATTAATTGATAACAGAAGCTCATTTCTTTGAGGTGAACTAAAAATATCAGAGCAACTTAAGTATATGCCTTGAAATCTGAAGCATTAATCCTTATCTTATCACTATAAATCTAACACGGATTACTTCCCTAACCTCTGACTTTGCATTGTATGTCGTGCAGCCTCTCTTTCCTCTTGTTCCTGTTCTTCGTTCAGTTTCTTTAGACAGATCTTCCAGTAGCTGTAGTCTGTCGAGTCCTTGACTTTAACAACAGACACATTGTCAACACACTCCTAGAATTGGAGTCAAAACGTTATGTTGACTTCTTTACTTGAATGATAAGAATCTAATGAGTCATTTTCTTAAAAACAAATAAATACCAATTTCCTGAACTACATGTATTTAGATATTTTTTACAATTAGTCCTCACTCTCATTTAGAATCCAACAAGAGCAAATAAAATTGTCATAAAGGGTCTACATGCAATACCCTTATCAGACTTATGGAATAGATGATTACTTTAAAAATGTTCTATATATCTGTATTTGTGAAACACTGATGTCCCCAAATGGAAGTCCAACTCCAAGGTGAATGTTAATACCCAAGGAGAGGTCATATCATGAGGAATGTACATGAAATATAAAAGGCTTAGCATCAACGATTCAGAAGTTATGACCAGGATTACAGTTTCACAAAAGGTCAAACTCTAAGTTCAAGGTCTTTATGTCAAATTGCTGATATCCAAAGAGAATAAAAGTAAATAATAGAATTTACCACTTGGTCCTTTTTCTTCCTACAGCATGAAGAATGGCAGCATTTCTTTAGGCACAGTTTAAGTTTATCAAAGATGAACTCAAACATCATGATGATGTAGCTGATGAAATTAAATGGAGCAGGCAATCTCAGACGAGTCTCAAAGTCCACAATGATGCTGTACACCTGGTACTTCCAGATTTCCTCTGATTCCTGCTGAACCTTGGCATTGGTTACACTAAAATACAATAACCATTATAAAACCATAAAGGTGACTCTTTGAAATTCAAAATATTTACATGTAATCATGTTTAAAAGTATCTGTTTACTCTGTCAATAAAGCATGCAATATCAGATGAAAGAAACCCTAAAGGTAATACACTTTCATACATGTATATTCCAGCAATTATGTGTCACTACAGTAAAAATTTTACTACTGGTATATATTCTTACTATTCATGCAAAACTACGAGTAGGTAGTATGCATTTGAAATAAATTTGGTGATGTTTCCTTTTCAAATCTTGCAAATAATTCTATATATATACATGTATATTGTAGTATTAAACATACAAACATACACATGCTGCCTTCCAGAAAGGTACAGAAGTTTTTTCTTGTTAGTGAAGCTGATGCTTGAAAATCAAGCACAGAGCTGACCTTGGAGAGGTCATTATCAATAATTACACAACAACTTAAATTTGGGTGCGAGTTCATACCTGAACATAGCGTAGAGGAGAGTTAGAAGGATGAGTTTCGTAATGACGAGATACTGGATCACCATCGCGTAACCACCAAAGCTACGATACGGACACTCAGCAAACTCCGGATGAAACCTAATCTGACCTACAATTCAGACAAAAAACTATAAAAATCATAGACCTCAAGTACTTGCTTTAGAGTAAAATAAACATTTATCCAACATACTTGTATTTCTTTTCCAAAATGAAGCAGCAGCATCTGAAACATAAAATATCAAGAAATAAGTGGTCGATAATGAATTGTAAAGTGTTTATCAGAATATATAAAATTTCTGAAGTCAAAAATACTTCCATTCCCAGAATTATGTGTACACTTAATTGGATTCCTACATTTCAGACAACAGTAGACAAAACTTACTGTAGCATACTTCTCTTGTTTGGTTGGCATAGAAGTTCTCGCACCGTTCATTACCTGTAATTTTTAAAATCATAAGAAGGATTTATCAATGAAATCTGCTATATCCTTGACTTTTGACCTAGAAAATTGGTTCAAAGTCGGAACATTCTTTAACCCATGAGCCATATTTATGGCAGGGCATGAACGTGTTAACAAAGTAATTTAAGCTTACCTCAAATTTTAAAATATCTAGATTATATGCAATCAAACATACTGTCAAGGTCATCAATTTTCGTGAGGAACATTCCGAAGAAGGCCCTGCTGAGAGCACTGACAATGCCCTCCTCCGATGCCGGGAAGTTCGGGTACAGCGTGGCCTGAATGGTGATACCCCCCGCAATCATAAACACAAGGAACATCCTAAACCAAGTCACAAAGTCCTTCTTCATCTGGAAAAAATCAAAATGCATTCATTCACAGGTGAGTTGTATTTCACATTTCTCCTGGATTCCCTATCTCATATCTCATATTGGACTATAAAGATGACTGAGAAGTGTAAAGAAAACAAGAGGCTCATGGGCCTTATAGGTCACCTGAGCATCATGCAACAACTTTCAAATGATTGAGTTTGGTTCATGTTTTAAACTAGACACCATGGCATTCACAATTTTGAAAAAGGCACCATTGCTCATCATAACTATACACTTAGCAATTAGTTTGGTTACTTAATACCCAAAGCATACATGTTAACTCTACCGATTTAGGCGGGAGTCTACCGCTTTTTCATTCCATCTCCCGCCTACCGATTTTATTCGTAAATCTACCGCTTTTCTACAAAAGTTTTGTCAAAAGTATTTTTGGTTCGCTTGGGTATCCATTTTTGATTTTGAAGCCACTCCTCATAAAATCTCGTTAGATATCGCGTTATTTGACGCGGAAGCATACAAACGCTTTTTTTGTACCGTTATATACATAAATTTCAAAGCATGTATTTGACAATGACAACAGCACAAGATTACCAATGATTACATTGGTTACGATAAATTTCGTCAACACTATGCCATAAAAAAAGAGATAAAACATTTTAGAATTGGATGAAAACGTTTGACATCGTCTACAAAAGCACAGGAGCTCACAATTTTATCAATAAAGTCAATAGAATTACTCTATTGACTAAGCCATGAGGCACATCTCTACTTTCGTTTTCGATCATCCGATCGCGGGAAATCTGATTTAATTAACGAAAGATAGAAACTAGATTTATATCTAGATTAAACCATGTCATCATTTGTTGTGTTTTACAACTGAATGAACATTCAGAATTATTGCTTCTAGGCTATATCAGAATACACAGCCAATCAAAGCAAAATGATGAGCTTGAAAAATATTTGAAGGTGTTTTTGTCTACTTCTTTGCAATTAATTATTGTAGTTTTTATTTAAGGCCATACATGCATTATATATTACATGAAATATATATATTATCGTTATAAATCCTAGCGTAAAACGAGGCGTGCGCAATGCTACCGCTTTTGACGTCTGAATCTCCCTATTTTTCATCACAGTAGGTTAACATGTATGCCCATAGGCAGGGTAGAGGAATAACAAGAGGCCCAAGGGCCTTGAATCGCTCTTCTGATAAATTGTACAATCTATCACTTCTATTAGAAGCCTCCAACTCTATTAGTATCATAAGACCCAAAATGCATCAACTTACAAAGTTTGATAATATCTAGCCAGTTAAGACTGAAGACATTATAATATAATTATAAAATACCATAAGTAGGTCACAGTGACCTACCTTTTGATTGAAATTTTCTGAGGACTTAAGATACATTAATTGACAAAGACTGATGATTCTAATTAAATCAGTACCTGAGATATTCAAAAGTAGGTCACCATGACCTACTTTTTGGACAACATTCTCTGAAAACCCAAGATGCATCAACTGACAAAGTTTGACGATTCTAAGCCAATTAGTACCAGAGATAATTAAATATAGCCATCAAATGTCAAAAGTAGGTCACGGTGACCTACTTTTTGGTTGACGTTATCCAAAAACCCAAAATGCCTAAACTGACAAAATTTGATGATTCTAAGCCAATAAGTACCTGAGATATTCAAAAGTAGGTCATCTTGACCTACTTTTTGGTCGACATTTTTTAAAGACCCAAGATGCATCTACTGACCAAGCTTGATGATCGTAGGTCTGAAGGTAATCAAAATATGCGTTTTAAACAATTTGAAAACAAATGTCGGCAAAATTCAAAAAGTAGGTCACAGTGACCTACTTTTTCATAAATATGTTTTTAAGGTCCCAAGATGCATCAAAGTACAAGATTTAATGATTCTAAACCTCCCAGTGTCTGAAATAATGGGATTTAATGTTTTTAAAAAGATAAGTCATAAAGTTCAACAAGAGGCCCATGGGCCTTATAGGTCACCTGAGCATTATGCAACAACTTTCCAGTGATTGAATTTGATTCATGTTTTAATCCAGATGCTATGGCATTCACAATTTTGAAATAGGCACCATTGATCATCATAACAATACACTTAGCAGTTGCTTAGTTTGTTTACTTAATACCCATAGGCAGGGTAGGGGAACAAAAAATGCATTTCAAGTAATCAGCAATATTCAGCATGATCAGTAATGCCCCAATCACACATGAACCCCTGACCCTTAGGCCTAGATCCACACATTGCACAATTTTTGAAAAGGCACCCTTGCTTTTCAAAAATATTTGATAAATACCAAGGAGCAGATTTCAAACAATTCATCCAGTTTCAATATATAAGTACAGCCCCCCCCCCCCCCCTCCTTTATGGTACCCCTGACCCTGGGGCCTTGAAATTCACAATTCTGGAAGATTAGGACCCTTACTCATCATAACTACATAGGTAGTTCATCTGCTTAATACCAAGGAGCAGAGAAGAAAACTTTCAAAGATTTAGTGTATTTTTATTGTATAATCAATAAAGCCCCACCCTATCACTAGAATCCCTGACCCTGGGGCCATAAAATTCACAATTTTGGAAGAGGCACTCTTGCTCATCATAACTATGCACTTATTTTGTTTATTTAATACCCAGAAGCAGAGAAGAAGATTTTCAAAGAATTCATGTATTTTCACTATATAATCTAAAGAGCCCCCCCCCCCCCTACACCAGAACCCCTGACCCTGGGGCCATCGAATTCACAATTTTGGTAGAACCACTCTTGCTCATCATAACAAAGCACTTAGTTAGTTAATTCAATACCCAGGAGCAGAGAAGAATATTTTCAAAGAATTCATGTAATTTCACTATATAATCTATAGAGCCCCCCCCCCCTTACACCATAACCCCTCACCCTGGGGCCATAGAATTCACAATTTTGGTAGAGACACTCTTGCTCATCATAACTATGCACTTATTTAGTTTATTTATTACCCAGGAGCAGAGAAGAAGATTTTCAAAGAATTCAAGTATTTTCACTATGTAATCTATAGAGCTCCCCCCCCCCTTACACCAGCACCCCTGACCCTGGGGCCATAAAATTCACAATTTTGGTAGAGGCACTCTTGCTCATCATAACTATGCACTTAGTTAGTTTATTTAATACCCAGGAGCAGAGAAGAAGATTTTCAAAGAATTCATGAAATTTCACTATATAATCTATAGAGCCCCGCCCTAACACCAGAACCCCTGACCCTGGGGCCATAAAATTCACAATTTTGGTAGAGGCACTCTTGCTCATCATAACTATGCACTTAGTTAGTTTATTTAATACCCAGGAGCAGAGAAGAAGATTTTCATAGAATTTATGTATTTTCACTATATAATCTATAGAGCCCCACCCTAACACCAGAACCCCTGACCCCGGGGCCATGAATTTCACAATTTTGGTAGAGGACTCAATGCTGATTACAATCATGCAAACAGTTTGACTGCTTGATGTCCAGGAGTAAAGAAGAAGATTTTTAAAGATTGCACTAATTTTAGTGGTTTTTGCCCCACCCCCCAGGCCCCAGGGGGGCAGGGCCCATGAAATTCACAATTTTTGTTCCCCTTCACCCATAGATGCTATATGCCAAATTTGGTTGAAATTGGTTCAGTGGTTTCAGAGAAGAAGCTGAAAATGTTCAAATGTTAACGCACGACGCACGACGAACGACGAACGACGACGGACGAAAAGTGATAGCAATAGGTCACCTGAGTTTACTCAGGTGACCTAAAAAGTAGGTCACGGTGACCTAATTTTAAGTTGATGTCATTCAAGGACCCAGGATGCATCAGCTGACAAAGTTTGATGATCATAGGCCTTAAAGTGTCCAAAATATGCCTTCAAATCAATTTGAAAACAAATCCCCGCAAAATTTAACAAGAGGCCCAGGGGCCACAGCGCTCACCTGAGCACATCGGGCTTGAATTTACACCCCCCCCCTTCCAGGCGTTCATCATTTGAACAAACTAGAATCTACACTACCTGAGGATGATTCCATATAATTCCCCGGGTATCACTAATCATAGCTTTGAAGTACTTAAAAAGAAGATTTTAAAAGGTTTCCCTATATATCCCTATGTAAAACTTGGGTCGGCCATTTTGGCCCCACCCTATCCCCAGGGCCGGGGATCATGATTTGAAAAAACTTGAATCTACACTACCTGAGGATGATTCCACATGAGTTTCATCTTTCCTGGCCCAGTGGTAATTGAGAAGGATTTTTAAAGATATTTCCTATATATTCCTATGTAAAACTTGGGTCGGCCATCCTTGCCCCGGGGGTCATGATTTGAACAAACTTGAATCTACACTACCTAAAGATGATTCCACATGAGTTTCATCTTTCCTGGCCCAGCGGTTCTGGAGAAGAAGATTTATTAAAAATGCCATTAATTTTTAACAAATTCATGATTATCTCCCCTTGGAAAAGGGCGTGGCCCTTCATTTGAACAAACTTGAATCCCCTTTACCCAAGGATACTTTGTGCCAAGTTTGGTTGAAATTGGCCCAGTGGTTCTTGAGAAGAAGATGAAAATGTGAAAAGTTTACAACAACGACAACGACGACGACGACAACGACAGACAACGGACAAATTTTGATCAGAAAAGCTCACTTGAGCCTTCGGCTCAGGTGAGCTAAAAAGTAGGTCACTGTGACCTACTTTAACATGATGTGAAGTCATAAGATGCATCAACTTACAAGATTTGATGATCCTAGTCCTTATAGTAAGCAAAATATACACGTTTTTATTAATTGTAAATTTAAGTCAACTTTGAAGTGACCTTGAGACCACGCCCTTTGCCCCAGGGTAATTCCCCGTGCAAATTTTTATCTTTGACATATCCTGATCCTTGTATGTAAGTTTGGTGAAAATCTGCCTGGTGGTTATGGAGAAGAAGACTTTTTAGCAACCAGTACTTTTGGTTTTGTTTTCCTGATTATCTCCCCTTGTTTAAAGGTCCCAACCCTTATTTTAGTATAAATGGTAGCCCTTGGGTCAAGGATACCCTGTGACAAATTTGGTACTGATTGGCCAAGAGGTTCTTGAGTTATGGCCCATATTCTAAAAAGTTTACGCACACCGCACAAATGGCCATAGCATTAGCTCTTTGAGCCTTTGGCTCAGAGCTAAAAATGCATTTCAACTAATCAGTAATATTCAGCAATAATCAGTAGTACCCCATACCACACATGAACCCCATGCATGTCACAATTTTGGAAAAGGCATCCTTGCTTATCAAAAATGTTTGATTTATACCAAGGAGCAGATTTAATACAATTAATTCATTTTCAGTATAAAAGTAGAGCCCCCCTCTCTCTGTGGTACCCCTGACCCAGAGGCCTTGAAATTCACAATTCTGGAAGAAGGGCCCTTGCTCATAATAGCTATAAAGGTACGTAGTTCATCTGCTTAATACCCAGGAGCAGAGAAGAAGATTTTCGAAGATTCAATGTATTTTCACTATAATCAATAGAGCCCCGCCCTAACATAAGAATCCTTGACCCTGGGGTCATAAAATTCAAAATTTTGGAAGAGGCATTCTTGCTCATCATAACTATGTACTTAGTTAGTTTATCTAATACCCAGGAGCAGAGAAGAAGATTTTCATAGAATTAATGCATTTTTACTATATAATCAATAGAGCCCCGCCCTAACATCAGAACCCCTGACCCTGGGGTGACTCAGGTGACCTAAATATATTTACAGACAGACAGAAGGTGCCAATTTGCCATTGCATAAACTCTTCTGGTCTTTGACCAGTTCCATCGAAAAATCAAAAAATTCCAGAGAAAATTGAGATTTTGGGTCAATCAACTCAAAAACTGGAGACAAAGGTGTCAGACATAATGCTCTTATTCTTAAAAAGACCAGATTGTTAGTACACAGGTTTTTATGCATACCATTATTCTAAAGTTGATCATCATCGGTCCAAGTACAGGGCTGATGGGAAGGAAAACACTCAGTAACCTGTAGTAGAAGTATAGGAGGCCCAAACTCATGACAAATTTAGCCGTGGTGTACTTGATGAAGGGGATGAACTTTGGTATGATTCGGACCAGTCCGATCACGATCAGAAAGGAACCAATCAGGCATATCTCTATCACTGTCCAGAAAATCTTCATCTCTTTGTATTCCTGAAATTTGACAGAAAGAAAGGTAGAACCTTGTCAAAATTAAATTATCAATGAAAACATAGGTAATCAGAGATTACAGAGCTCACCTCAACGAATGTTGTCTTTAAGTAAGGCAAAGTCACACAATGAACCAACAAAAAGTGTACATTCCAAAAATGAAAATATTTAAGCAATTTAAATCTGATACTTTGAAATAAACCTATACAAAAAATTTAAACTAGTTCTTCTTCATGAAAATGTAATTAAAATCCAGCATCGGACGCAAATTTGAGAGTTTTCATCCCTTGATGCATCATTTGTGCAAGTTTGGCTTATACAATGCTATACATGTATAAGCTTTATAGTTTTATGGTAATAGACCTGCAGCAATAACTTTTACCTGGTCCATTATCTGAAAAATGTATGTCAGATTCAGCATCCGAAGCAAGCCTGGGAGTATGCATCCTTAAATGTATCATCCATGCAAGTTTGGTCAACATAGGGCTAGCCTTATAGTTACTTCGAAATGAAACCTGCACCAAAAACTTTAACCTGTTCACTCAACCAGAAAATGTAGGTCAGATTCAGCATCCGAAGCAAGCCTGGTAGTGTGCATTCTTAGATGTATCATCCATGCAAGTTTGGTCAACACAGGGCTTATAGTTCCTTGGAAATGAGACCTACACCAAAAACTGCTTTAAAAATGTTAACTTGCTCCAAAAACATTAACCTGGTCATTCCTTTGCTGAAATTGCAGCATATGAAACTTTGACTGGTACAATGAAACACACCAGAAGCATCTTCCATGCATGTCTAATCAATATAGGACATAGTACTTAAAAAGAAAACTGCTCCAAAAAACTTAACCTTAACCTGGGACGCCAACGCCGACACCGACGCCGAGGGTATTACATAAGCTCCCCCAACTTCGTTGAGGTGAGCTAAAAAGCACAAGAATTCTGGTATTAATTTAAACGAGTTCTAATAATATAAGAGCAATTTTTATATTAAACCATCAGCATGGTTTAACATTACAGTTAATTCTCGATAAACCGCCACCTTTTGTAATTTAGAAGTCATGGCGGTATAACGAATTTGGCGATGAATTGAATTTTCCATCTTTTAGGAAATAAGATGTAGAGTTATCGTTCTTAGAAATACCAGTTAGCGTTTCTATTATTATTACTACATATACAGGTATATATAAACATAGTTCTAAATTTGATAATACTTCAAGTATTTTTTTATGTACAATTTCGCTAAAACAGAATATTCAGTTGTGAAATAAGGACAAGTTCATGTGTATACATGTAAATCTGCATGTCTGATATTGAAAAAAAATAATTACTGTAAACGTGGAAATTTTGACGATGTGCTAATTTTGACTATATTGACGATTCTTCTTTTCTCGTCAAAATTTATGCCTAGGTCACATTTAAGCCGATGGTCGGGCGACTAAATTTTTCTGGTCTTGTCGGCTGAAAGAACAGGATCGGCCGACACAGTATCGGGCGACACGGAGCAGTCACATTATTTCCTAGGGAGACCGATGACTTGGATAAATAGCACAAAAATCTTTTTTTCTTTAGAAATCAGCAATATTTTTTTCATATTTATATTCAGATAGGTGACGTGAGTAATGTTTGCAAGGCAAAGTGGCAGAATCTTATAAAATTGTGACTCAGTGTTGAAAATGTGTGTAAAATTTGTATGCAATCGCTTAAAAATGACAAATGATGCATATCTAAGCAGCAAAGAACACTTAAGATTTCTTTATATCTTACGGATTAATTGTTTATGTTATCTCCGTTCAAAAAATTTATATCAATCCATGCATCAAAATTTTGTTTGTGTTATGTATCTTTAATTGGTTTAATATTCACAAGTCGGCCAATCGTCGCCCGATCATCGAGCTCTGAGCTACAGTTTGATTTTCACCGTCGGCCGAAATTTTCAACACCCTTATTGTCCAACGACGGACGACCGACTTAATAAACTGACAGCCGATGGTCGGACGATGATCGAAGGTTGGTCGACGGATAACTGCACTTAAAGAATTCGGCCACCGACGCATGAAAATTTATAACTTAAACCGATGGACACAAAATTGGTCGGCCGACAAAAAATAGGCCAAAATCGCCCAAGACAACGGCCGATGAACTGACGACTGTCAACTGAAGAATCCCATTTTTGCTTCAAAACCCGTCGGCCGTTGGTCGTTTTTGGAAATGTGACTGGGGTTTTACACTCGTCAAACTTCTTATCATATACATAGAGACACAACAGACATTGACCATTGTACAACTTTACCGCTAAATTTTTAACGGCTTTTTCGTTTGACAACGAGATCAAAGTCACTGTTTATTTCTTTTGTAGTTATGAAAATATCGTGATATAAAATCACACTTTTAAAAACCATTGAATCTAAATTGGTGTATCAAATACTGCAAGCGTAATTTAGCCTAATTATCACACCGTGCTTGACCTAGTTTGTCACCTCAGGCATTTGACTGCTTATAATGAAATCAAATTACAAGAGGGCAATTTATTTAATCAAATCTTAAACACATAGATAGTTTGTACAAAAATCAAATTTTA